GGACACGTCAGTATCTGTGGCTGCTCAGCTGTTGGGATGAGAATTCTTACCCAGGTCAGGTAATAAACGTGCACTATGTAATACTCCAAATCCTTCTCTCTCTCGATTTCTGGTCTGTGTAACAGTAGAAAATCTTAATCGAGTTAGTCTAGTGTGAGTGGGGACATAATGCATAACCCCTCTTCTTGGCTAGGGCCCATGGAATCTGACTCCAGAGGACTTGGAAAAGGTTCAAAGAGCAATGAAACTATTTCAAGGATTGGGAAATTGGCCCTATGAGGCAAAGCTCAAGGAATTGGGACTTAACGGCCTGGCGATGCAAAGGTTGAGGAGAAACTTCATTATAGTCTTCAAAGTGAAGCCAGGCAAAGGACTGAACTCCACCATTTTAGCTGAGCCCAAGACTCATGAGACAGGGCATAAAATGCCACTGTGTTGGGGGATGGGAGGAGAAGCAGGGGGCAGAGAGATCTAGTTAGGGGAGAGCAGAAATTCCCCAGTGGCTGGGACTATTGAGTGGTGGAATGTGTTGGCAGGGCAAAATCCCAGTTTCCTTCCAAACCCAACTCAGGTGCCCCTCCTAAACTGACCTTTCTAGTTACTAACACTCCTTCCCTCTTGGAATTACTGTGGACTTTGTGCTTAAGTAACTGGGCACGTGCCAATGCTCTCCCTGCAATAAGAATGTCAGCTCCTTGAAGGTAAAGACCATCTCTCTCTCTCTCTCTCTCTCTCTCTCTCTCTCTCTCTCTCTCTCTCTCTCTCTCTCTCTCTCCCCCCCTCTCTCTCTCTGTTTCTGTCTCTTTCTCCCTCCTCTCTCTCTGTCTCTGTCTGTCTGTCTCTGTCTCTGTCTCTCTCTTTGTCTCTGTCTGTCTGTCTGTCTCTCTATCTCTTTCTCTCTCTACCTCCCTCCCTCCCTCTGTTTCCCCAGTACCCAGTACACAGTAGTCACTTAATAAATGCATGTAAAGTGAATGGATGACTTACAGGATTTTGAACTGGAGAGAGCCTTGGTGGTCACCTAAGCCAATACCCTACTTTAATAGAAGAGAAAGACAGAACCAACAAGGCAAAGTGATTTGTCCAAGACGAGCCAGGAAGAGTCAGAGCCAAGATTTACACCCTACTCATGCAAAGCCGAAGTCAGCACTCTGTCCACCATACTGTGTGCTTTCTGTCTATACAACCTGTTTGTCTGAAGACTTAGGAAAATAATTTAAAATACCTTTCTGGAATGGCTGTCGGTGGACCCTGGAAGAGAGAAGAGACAGTCTCTTCAGTCCAGGTGGCCACCTCTACAAAGCAAGCCAGGGAGAATCACATGGCCAAATCTCCAGGAGTGGTAAGCCCCAGACTAGAGGCTGACCCATAAGCCTGACTGAATCTGGGGGTTCAAGGGAGGTGGTCATTATACCTTCCCTCAGAAGTCCTTTCCTTTGATCTTTAAGGCTGAGTGTGTAACACATAACACGGTGTGGCCTTGGGCAGATCAGTTTCCTTTTCTGTAGCATGAGAGGGTTGGATGATGGCCTCTGGTTAGATGGCTCTCTCTGTATCTAGAATCCTATGGGCAGAAGAGGGCCCATTCACCAGGTTCCAGATGCTTTGGGGCTCTTTGTCTTTGGACAAGATATCTGACCTCTCTGAGTGTAAAATAGGAATAATAATAATACAGATCCTCCCTCCCTCCTTTGCAGGGTGGAGTTGTGAGGAAAGTACCCTGCATTTTATAAAAGTGATGTATAAAGGAAATGGGACTGCCGCATAAGGATACAGTAACTACCCCCACCCTGGGCTAAGAACAGAGGGAGAATGGGGAATGGGGGGTGGGGAGGAGAGTGACGGTCTTCCCACAAGTCACCCAAGGCAGAATCTGGAGAGATGCCCACCATAGACCACATGCAGGCAGACTTGATGCACCATTTCTCGGTTCTGTGAGGACCCCGTTCCCCAACAATATGCTGGCCCTTCGGTCTCCTTATCCCTCTCTTCCCTTGCCCAACTAGAAGAATTCAAGGTGAGCTCCCAAGTGTATTTTTATTCACACACACACCCCTTTTTCCAGACCCAAATTCAAATCAAATCATCTGGTTGTAGGATGGCTAGGATCACCCCAGTGGGCCTTCTCCAGCATCCCTGTTGCCAAGGAAAACACATCCCAGGGTCAGAGGCTGACTTGAATTATTGCTGAACATCTTAAGGCCTCTCTCTTTGCTGATAGTTAAGCTTCAGGCAGTGAGGAAAATCATCCCAAAAGTCATCAGGGAAAGGGGCTTTAAAGACAGAAATTAAACCCTGGTAGCTCCTGCATTGCAGGGTCAGGGAGGGTGGGAAGAGAGGCCCAGAATGGGGAGTCCCCTCTCCCTTAGGGATTAGTTTATTTCATAGTCGGAAAAGCAGGGTCTTCCTAAATGTGTTTGCTGGGGGCTCAGGGTTTAGCCTGATACCAACAAGGATACTTTAAATACAAAGAAAAGAACTTTGTGTCATGTCCGTCTTCTCGAGGCAACATAGCACCTGGGGCCCCAGAAATGTTGCTCCAACTTCAAGGGAAGTTTGTCCACTCAAAAACATGCTCAGCAGCCTCTGCTAGGCACTTCTACTTCTCTCCTCTGCCTGCCTTCTCAATGAGCCCTTCCCACCTCATCTTTCAACAAAGTAACAAAGATCTAGCAGAGCCATCTGGGAGCCTTTTCTCAGTTGTTACTTTCAATCTCCCTGTCCTCCTGGATCTGCTCTTCTCCATGTGTTTTGGTGGCACTGCTGTCTCCCGGTTCTCCCAGTTGCCTGACCTCTACTTTGCTCAACCTTCATCCCTATCCTCCCCCTGAAGTGTGGATCTGCCTGAGGTTCATTTCTAGTCCCTCTTTCTTTACTCTCTATCCTCTTTCTTGGTGAGCCCATCGGGTGTCATGCATTTAATTGTGATTTCTAGGCAGATGTCAGATGCCTTCCACAGCGATGTAGAAACTCTAGCCTCTCTCTGGATCCCTAGCCCTATATCATCAATGACCCACTTGCTATCTCAAACTAGACATCCTCTAGGCATCTCAAACTCAAAATTCTCAAGATTGAACTCATTATCTCTCCTCTTCAAATACTCTTCTTTTGAACTTTATTTCTGTCAAGGGCACCACCATTGTTCCAGTCACCTAGGTTTTCAAACTTGGTAACCGAATCACCCTACTCATTTCCAAATCTTGCCATTTCTCCCATCTCTTGCAGTCACCCCCTTTCCACTGCCTTAGCTCAGGTCATCATCGCCTCTCACCTGAGCTGTTTCAGTGGCTTCTTAGCAAGCTCTTCCTGCCTCCAGACTCTTTTCTAATACATCCTTCATCAAGCTGCCAAACTGATTTTCCCAAAGTACATGTCTGACTATGTCATTCCCATACTCATTGAACTCCAGTGGTTCTCCATACTACAGCCAAGATCAACTATTAACCTGCTTTGGCACTTAATTCCCTCCCAATCTATTTCCAGCCTTCCTACCCAGCTATGTTGTGTATTAATCTTCCCCATGAACACTGTGGTCCAGTCAAGATGGCCTCCTTCCTGTTCCTTCTCTGTGATGCACATCTCCTACCCCTGAGCCTTTGTACGGGCTAAAATATAGACCCTTGTCTCCATCTCTTATAATTCCTGGTTTCTTTCAAGACTGTTCCACAGAAGGACTTTCCTGAACCACCCCCTCCAACCCAGAAGCTAAGAGTGACGTCCCCCCCAGTCACCTGGTATTGATTTTGCATGTGTCTCCGTGCTGCGCTCTCTAACTAGATTATGAGCTCTGAGAGGGCAGGGGCTGTTTTAACTCTTGTCTTGATATTCCTAGCACTCAGCCCACTGCTTGACATGTAGCAGTTGCTTGACAATGCCTGTTTTCATTATTATTGTTGTTATTACATCCTGATCAGTCAGGAAGGCTGCCACCTTCAGCTTCCTCACAGTCAGTTCAGACCAGGTCAATTCAATGCAATCTGCTATCTCAGCACCCCATCCTTCCCTACTCTACCTTCTCCCAGCATCTCACTCCTCCCTGGGCACCTCACAAGAAGGAGAAAAGGGATAAGGAATGGGCAAGAGGTCCAGTCTCCCACTTTCTCCCTCTTATTCTATCATTGACACCTCATTTTCAGGAAACCAAAGTCCTGCAGGGGGATTCCAAAAATCAGTGTCACAATTATAAGGTGGGAAAGAAATGACCAAACAACAGTTCATTAAAAAATAAATCCAGGAGGTCAAGTGGCCCCAAGCTCAGTATGAGCCAGCAGTGGGTGTGGCAGCCAAAAAAAGCTCTTGAAGATTTGGGCTGCATTAAGGGGGACATCATGTCCAGGGGGAGGGCAGCAGTCATCCTGCCGTGCCCCACCCTGGTCAGACCACCTCTAAAATATATCCAGTTCCAAGTGCCACCTTTCAGGAATCCATTGACAAGGCGTCTGTGGTCCAGTGGAGGGCAATAAGGATGTTGGGAAGAGACTCAAGGATTATTTGAAGGGACCAGGGACACTCAGCCTAGACAAGGAAAGAATCAGGGAGGCCATGATATTTCACTTCAGTTATACAAACAGGCTCTCAGGCAGAAGAGCAATTAGACTTAGATATCAATAAAAGCTTATTTAAAAAAAAAAAAAGACTATTACGTGGAGGAGGGATCAGCCTTATTCTCTTGGTCCCAAATGGCAGAGCCAGGAGAAATAGGTGGAAGCCACAAAAGGCACATTTAGGCTTGGCAGAAGAGAAGCCACCCTAACAAATGCATGTCCAAGGGTAATGGGCAGGGGGTTCCCTCTCACGGTAGGTCTTCTACCAAAGAGCTTGTGACCACTTGTTAGGTCCAGGCATGAATGGCCTTTGAAGTCCCTTCCCAATATGAGGTGCTGTGGGTTGTCCCTGCAAGTGACTTGTAGGACATACAAGTCCCTCAATGCCAAGAATCTCTGGTATAAAAAATAAAATAAATAATTTAAAAACTTTGTTCTTGTTCCCTCTTGTTGTAGACTGTCCGGCGTGTCTGAGGGTGAAGTGGAATTGGGACATCTCCAAGTTCATAACTTCTGAAACCTTAACAACCTCAAGGAATCTGGTCCATAAGACCTTGCTTGACCTCGCAGCTCTGAGCTCCTGCAGAGCACTGAGACTGAGTGGAAAAACAGCCCCGAAGCTAAGCAGTCTTCGAAAGCTTTCCCACATCTCTCCTGAGGGACGTTCCCCCAGTACCGATCTGTGTCCCGGCCATCCTTGCTGTTCCTGCTGTTTGTTGTGGATGCATGTCATTGTTTTGATTGTTCTGAGTTCGGGCTGCTTTGTTTAGTTTCCTGAAAACCTTCAGATTCAGGAACACATATAAGAGAAATCTTGGTTTTGGAATTGTTTTTCCTTTTACTGTGTTCTTTTTTTAATGTATATTTTTTTAATGAAAGAAAGATGACTTCTTGTACAGTTCTGTTTAAACTGGACCAAGGCTCACAGAAGAAGGGGTTGCCTCCACCCCGGCCCTTCCTCCTCCCGTGATTCTTGCATGATTTCGAGTAAGCCTGGCATTCAGACTCTCAGACGCTCCCCCCCTTTCTCAATCCTCCCCAACTTGCTCAGCTCATCAGTTCTGTTTTTTTGGTATTTTCTATTTCAATGTATATGTTGCTTATTTGTTTTATTTATTGAGATATTTTTAACAAGCTAAGAGATGGCAATTTTGCTGTGTATACTGCTTCTCTTGCCAATAACAAATAAAGAAGCCATGCAGTTGCTTGTCTCCTGGTCATCTTAGTGCTCTAAGCAGTCATGACATTTGTTCACTCAGTAGCACAGGCTCTGGACCCAATCTCCCAAGCATCCACTTCCACAGTCCGCAAAGTCCCCAGAGCTCAGCTGCTCCAGGGGCAGCCACAAGGGGTTGGGGAGGTGATATTCTAATGCTACAGCTCATGAGCCCCCAGCAATGTGCTCCTCCATTGATTACCAGCTGATATTGCTTGGTCATACTGACTTAATAAGTGCTCAGAAAAGAAAAGTGTTTAGTAACATAGTACACTAAGAGAAGTTAGTATGAGCATCACTCTCTCCACCCCTTCCCCCCCAAAAAACCAGTCTGACACAGTCTCCTATGAGTACATAGAGAGTCCAGGAGAAAGTGGACTTAAGCTTAGAGAGCACAAACAGCAGGGTGAGCAACTCACAATTCCTGGAATTTCCCTGCTGGAAATCCTTTTCTCCCCATTTGTGAGGTGCTCAAGAATGAATGAGTAAATAAAGTATTAAGGACTTACTGTGTGCAAAGCCCTGTATGAAGCATTGGGAATACAAATAGAAAAGTCAGACCATCCCTGCTCTCAAGGCACTCACACTGGGGAGTCAACCCACATGGCAAGTTTCAGTTCCAAGTCAAACGGAAGAATCCCATGGTTCTTAGCAGATGAGCAGGTCTCTTCTGTACTATCATTTCTACTGATAAAATTCTATCAGTTTCTAATGTTGAACCATTCGATAGTGCCAAGGACTTTGGTGACAAGAACTTCCTTGTCTGGGTCTTCAGTAGCTGGGGTGGTAGCACCTGCAGGACCCATGCCCAGACTGCTTCCCAGGAGGATGCTGAGGGCACTGTGCAGGAAACAGTATTATTCCCAAAGGCTTTGGCTTCTGTGTCCTGGGCTGTTCCATCGGGGTCCAAGGGTGGTCAAGGTGGTGGAGTTGGTTTGACTGACCCAGCCCATGCTGCCTCCTGTCTCTCCCTCAGGGTGCCCTTCTGCTCCAAATAGGCTGGTCTGCCTACTCTTGGAGGGGAAGTTTCTCGGCAGTTTGTGGGGATGGTTGATCCCCTCTCCACAAGAATTGTTTTCCCCAGATGATGGCTAGACTAGAAATAGGATGGAAGGTGTGGGAGGTACTACCACTTCCCAAGGCTCCTACGCTCATTTGCCTATCAGTGGCAATTAGTCAGCAGTTTTCATGAATGGTGATGAAGAAGGTGGGTTTCTTCTCCACTGACGGCTGTGAGGGCTGGATAAGAAGCCGGTCCTGTGACCTGGGGAGGCATTGTTATTACCAAGACTCTTGAGCTCAGAATCCTGAGTTATCTCCATGAGCACCTAAGGGGAGATGACCGTCCAGGAGGTGGTGGTGGTGGTCCAAGCTGCCCATCACACACCAGCTGCCATCCCTTCCCTTACATATGGCAAAGATTTTCTTTGTCCTTCGATCTGTATTCGCTGTGTCCTTGATTCCTGGTACAGATACTGCCACCAGCTGTTCCCAGGACGCTGCTAGGACACTGGGGGAAGATGGGAAGCCCCAAATTTTCCTGATTCTTCAAAACATGAAAGCCCTCCACTGGTCAGTGTAAGAAGGAATGGAGTGGAGATGGGATCTAGGCAGAAAGCATTCCTCCTTGCCCCCAAATCGTTACTTCTCAGGGACAGCTTTCTCTCACCCGACGCTCAAATCTTTCAGGGTCTGAACTAATTTCTTGATTGCATAGGCCCCAGGAGACATGCCCAGATCCCTCCGCCGATCTCAATGGAATTCCTATTGCAGCAAGGAAAGCGTCTAGCCCTTGCTCTTATTGAGAGGAAAATGGAAATAGCTTCACCTGATAAATGCATCAGAGCTTCTTTTGTTGACATTTTCTTTCAAGGAGTGGAATAATTTGATTGACTTTCTCCATTGTTGGCCTCCCTCACCCAGGAACATTTCTAAAGTGTCAACTATATACAAGGTACCGCACTACATGACGGGGCGATGGATTCAAAATCAAAACCGTTCCTGTCCTTGAGTTGGGAAAGGATCATTCGGCCCTAGAACAGCTTGATGATACCTCAGAGGGGCTTTGGTCACCCCACACAAGACCCCAGAAGATGAGGTGATTGGCTATGCCCTGATGCAGCCAGGAACCAAATCTGGGGTGTCACTGATGTATACATGTCCTCCACCAAGGCAGGTCAGCACCATCTCTGCTCCGTGGATCCATACATAGGTACACAGAGCACAGAGAGAAGGAGGGATCTACCCAGGGCCACCTACAGAAGGACTTCGAGGTGAAACGTCAAGCTAGGTCCTCCTGACTCCCAAGCTAGCTCTGTGTCAATGAAGTCACATTGCTTCTTAATGTCATAAGATCACACACCACAGCATAATGTCACACATTTAGGGACCTTGGAGGAGATCTAATCCACTTCCCTTCTCTTTATATAGACGAGTAAACTGACACCCAGAGTAGTATAGCAAACTTGCCCAGAGACACATAGTCAGGAAATAGAAAATCTGTCCCCTCAGTGTCCCCTCCATTACACCCTACAAAAATAGCAAGTAATTTGAGGAGAGAGCGAGCATTGAGGACTAGGGGGAATAAGGAAAGCATTCCAAAGGAAATGGCACTTGAATAGAGCTTCAAAAGAAGCAAGGGATCATGAGGGTCTGAAGCAAGAAAGGCGAGGAGAAGCCGGTGCCACAGACAGGGGAGGCAGGCCAAGGAAAGGCAGCGGGCCACAGACTATCCCGTACAAAGAACCACAAGTTGACTGGTGAAGCTAAGCTTAGAGAGTGGGAAGGGAAGCAGACACCAGACAGGACAGAGACATATCTCCTAGGCTCCGCACAGAGGTGACATCGCTTCCACAAGGTAGAAGACAAAGGGATGCGGTGGAGGAGGCCTTGGGACAATGACCAGCTCCAGCAACTGTTCCAGGTTGCATCCTGACTCCAAAGCCCACGGTTTTCTAATAAGCATACCTTGCAGCTGCCATTCATGGGAGCCCACCATGTGGTAGGATCACACCTCTCCAGCCGGGACTTCCTTTAGGGAAGAGGCCCTTGTCTGGTCTTCTTTCATATCCGAGTGCTTAGCACAGTGTTTGATGTTTATGTAAGTGCTCAATGAATGCTCACTGACTGACCTCCTGATGGTCAGAAACATGAACAGTCTGGCCATAGGTCATTAAACCTGGAAGATCCAGAGGCAGGATTTGAACCCCTCACCTTCCTTGTCTCCTAATTCAGTGAGTGTTCCTCCCAACAAGCCACAGGTCACGTAAAGGTATGCACCTGCCATCTTCACAACAGCCCCATGAGAGAGGTTGTGTAATTGTCATTGTGCCCATGTTAGAAGTGAGAAAGCTGATTCACAGAGAAGCTAAATGGCTTATCTGAGGTCAGAAAGCTGAGATGTGGGGCACGTGTCAATATTCATTTCTTAAGTTCCTATTCAGTGCCAGGCACTGGGCTGGATCCTGGCATTTCATCATCCACTTGACAAGAGCACGTCCATGCTCTTCCTGGGTGGCTCCACCTGGACAGCTGGGGAATTGTCCCAAAGCTGAAGTGTGTCCTTCATGAGTTATTTTTAGAAAAAGCATTTGTGAAATTAAAGAAAATTTTGCATGTCTCACTTTCGGGGATACTCTATTTTTTCAGAGTTTGGCCTTTTTCCCTTTTCCTTTTCTTTCTTTCTTTTTTTGCATCCGGGCTCTGAGTCTCAACAGACATGAGCCCCAAGGGGTGGCTGCTGCCTAGAAAGGCTCTCAGGCCTTTGGGGCACCTGTTCTACTTGCCCCCCAACTTTCTCCACCCCTGCTGGGTTATTTCTTAGGGACAGAAAGAGTTCCCTTTGGAGTTCTTCTTTGGTTTTCATAGAGCATCCTTCTGCTGCTCCCCCTGCCCTGATCCAAGAGGAAAATGCAGAACTTCCAGCCTGCCTTGAGAACCTTTAGGCTGCCTGGAAAGGCAGAGAAGGAAATTCCCTGGAATAGATGAATAAAAAGCCCCACTCACAAACCGCTACTCCTGTCCCTCATGCTATTCCACATTCCATCTCCTACCTCCAGGCCTTTGTAGAGCCTGTTCCCCCAGTCACGGAAGATGCGCCACTCTCATGAGCTCTACTTGTTACAAGCCATGGTTGCCAACATGGCTCCATTTGGAGGTCAACTGTGACCAGGTTAGTTTTGAGTACCCTTCCTCCTTACCTCTTGTGTTTTTTCATAAAATCTTAGATGTGAGCTAAAAAGACCTCCAAAGCCATCTAGTCCACCCCCTATCATTTTACAGATGAGGAAACTGAGGCCCAGAGGCATAAAGTCACATACTCAGAGTCATACAATGTCTAACCCAAATGTTCCTATTTGCCTTCCAGCAAATTCAGGTCAGTTCCCAGGGAACCAGGATGCCAGAGGGTTTGAGGGCCTGAGGGCCTTTCATTTAACAAAGATTCATGCTCAGTAAACCCTAAACACACACCACAAATGTGCAACATTATTACTGCTGTTGCTGTGGCCTGTCGCCTCTGCCCAGGCAGCTCAGAGGGCAGAACCCAGCTCTGAACTTTTAAGGACCCCATCGAGATTTCCAAAGGGTTTCACTCTACCCTGCTATAGGAGGGCAGGCAAGCCAATAAACATTAAGTACCAGGGACTGTGCAAAGTACTGGGGACACAAAGAAAGGCAAAAGATGTCCTAGGCCCCAAAGAGCTCCCTGTCTAATGGGGGAGACAAGACACACAACTGTTATCAAATAAGCCAGAGACCAGAGGCTAGATCGGAGATGATTACCTCAGCCTTTCAGAACTTACCATCTCGAAGGGACGTTCATTTAATACAATAAACATTGATAAAGCACCTACTGTGTGCCAGGCCCTCTGCTAAGCACTGGGACAGTTCATTGGATCATACAGTTGGAAGGGTCCTTCATTTGACAAAGAAGGAAGCTGAGGTCCAGAGAGGGGTAGTAACTTGGCCAAGGTCACACAGGCAGAAAACCCTAAA